TTTTTTAACAACTGGTAATCAATTTATTAAAATATTTGACTTAAGCATGTGTAATGGTGACTTCCAGCCCAACTCCTGGCTCAGTAGTGATGGAAGTCATCTGCTTCACAATCTCAGAAGGACTGTGCAAGCCAATGAGTAGCTTTTGGATTTTCATCTGGAAATGATCCCATGTCTTAGAACCTTCCCCACAAGGAGTTTTTCTTGTCATCATTCTAAAAGTCTTGGCAGACATTCGAACTGCTCCTTTCGCTTTGAGATTCTTTTCCTTTGCTCCTCTGATCCAGTCAGCACACACTTTCTCCATGGGTTTTCCGTTGCAGCTCATTAGAGTGATTCGAATTCAGGTGTTTTACTGGTATCCTTAAAAGCCATGGCTGCTGCGTGGTTTCCTGGCCGTCTTGTTCCTCGGCGAGAGGCAACAGCGGTGGGTCAGGAGCAGGAGCGTTTGGATCCCCGACCCCCAACAAGTACCCCCGCGTCTGCGTCAAATTTTCCGGGAGCTTTCCCAGTTCTTGACTTCGTTAGCAATCCAAACCTTTGACAAGACTGTTTCTCCGAGACGGAGTTGACTTAGAGGGCGGCGGGCCTTGGCAGGACCTTTGACTTCCTACAATTCCACAGGAGCCGGAAAATCTCCGCCCCACTCTACCGACACCCGCACCGAGTCCAATTCCGCCAAGTGAATCTCACACACGTTGCAGACCTGGTGAGTAACGCTTGCACCCGCAAGCCCGAAATTGGCTCATAGTGATGCTAAGTGTGCATTGATAGTTGTGATGGTCCCCATGAAGCCGCTTTCAGGTGTACACACGAGAACTAGGCACAGTTTCATTTGCCAAATAGACCCCAGCAAAGCCGCGCTGGGAACAACTCTGACCAGGATCCCACATTAGGAGGCCTCTCAACTGAGAGGGATTTTCTGAGAAAGACCAAGAGGCTGCTCCCTTTTCCTTGCTTCGGAGCGTTGTTATCTTGATTACCTAGATCACCTGGAAAGTATCAGTATCCAGAATCAATAAGATAAACTCTCTGCTCCCCTGACAGCAAAAGGAACCATGACCAAAATGACCAAAGAGCGTGGAAGGAAACGATGTAATCAGAAAACTCAGAGGACAGCTCGGGGTGGGGGGTGGGGGTGGAGCCCCAGGGGGGTGGGGATGTAAGCAGGTGTTCCAGCCTGAATCATGAATAATGAAGGAATACAAATCAAATCTGAAGTCACATAGAAACATCTGTGGAATCTCAGGCAGGACTAAGATCCCATTCACAGGCTCCTGCTCGTCCACTTAATGGCAGCAAGTGTGGCTCCTGGGTTTCTTAATAGAATTAGGCATAATTTTGGTGACTGTGTTTTGCCAGTCCTCTTTCTGTGGCATCCAGTTCACCTGTAAACTTTTTGGGATCAGGCGGGAAGTCATGCAGTTTCTCAGCGCCTCGCTTCATCCTGGGTGCTCTCAGGCATGCACGAGCAGATACCTGCCTTGGTGGAGTCTTGGCTCATTCAGGAGGTTCCTTAGGGTCAGGAGGCACTAACAGGTCCAGCAGGAAGGCATGTGTCTGCACATGTGTGGTGGGATCCTCTGTTCACCTTGAGAATGCAGGTTCTTCCTGAACTAATAACTTCTTTATCATGGCATAAGTAGCCACAAAATAACAATTCATATTAACTCCATTGATAAAAATAACTGAATATCAATAATCAAGGTAATAATGATATTATTATATTGATAGTAAAATCAAACAAAGGCATTAGAGATTAAAGATTCCCGACCAGGCGCGGTGGCTCAAGCCTGTAATCCCAGCACTTTGGGAGGCCGAGGCGGGTGGACCACGAGGTCAAGAGATCGAGACCATCCAGGTCAACATGGTGAAACCCCGTCTTTACTAAAAAAAATACTAAAAATTAGCTGGGCATGGTGGCGTGTGCCTGTAATCCCAGCTACTCAGGAGGCTGAGGCAGGAGAATTGCCTGAACCCAGGAGGCGGAGGTTGTGGTCAGCCGAGATCGCGCCATTGCACTCCAGCCTGGGTAACGAGTAAAACTCCATCTAAAAAACAAAAAGAAAAGAAAAAAAAAAAAGATTCCCCTCTGTGAAGGTTGATGTACAGAGAGGAACACGTGAGTTGTCTGTATTCAGAGTCCAATGAAACTTGATCCTCAAAGGCAAAGGTGAGCAGGACGAGGAAAACACACAGTTCATGAATGACCACATGGGCTGCCTTGGAACTCAGGTGGGAACCCTGCGGGTAAAGTGCCCACCAGCCAGCCCTCACCCACCTTCATGAGGTAGGACAGCAGGATAACAGGGAAGGGGTCGGTGCATGGGCTGCAAGGCTCATGTCACACCTAATTCAAAGAAGCTCCACTTATGACAGGTGTTTATCTGCCAACACCGTGTCACCTCTACTGCCTGGCTGCGTGTCTGCCCTCTGCTCTTCTTAGCTCACAGGAGGTCCAGATGTTACTGTCCACCTGTCTGGGTACAGAGCTATTGGAGGCCATTACCCTGCTGCTTCCTCTTTGGAAAGGGGCGACACTCGTGGTCCATGCCATTCTCTGTCTCTTTGGAAAACTTTGTCAGCACATGTAAGGTTTTCTTCAGCTGCAGAAAGCCACCTTCTTCAAAGTCTCACCCTCCACAAGTGGCAATCACACAATGATTAATGGTGGCAAGGGGTGCCTAGGCTTCACCATGTGCTTCAATTGGGAGAAACAGGGGAGGCCTTCCTTGCTCTGCAGCTCTGTCTGCGGCCGCCTGACAATGTCGGGCTGCAATCATTTTGCACATAAGGCTTCCCTCCAGTCCTTTGCACAGAGGTGGATCCCAACATCACTTCCTAATAAACATCCTGCACACTAAGCTTCATCTATATCCAGCTCCCTGGGAACCAATCCTGTGACAAAAGTGAAAGGTTTCTAGGGAAAATAGCATTTCCTTATCAGACAGGAATCAAATTCTGCTGAGCTAGAAAATAAGGTAAAGTCTGATGCCGTCTCATGATTTTTTCTGTTAGAACATTACCACTGCCAGCAAGAATTATGCATATTAACTCATGGGGACAAAAGTCCTGTTGGAGTGGGAAGAGGCTGTTGTGAGTTGAGGAGAAATGCTAACAAATGGACTTTTACCCTCAACTTGGATTCAAAAGGAGAGGAGATGAAAACAGCTGGAAATTAAAGGTCTCCAAAGATGTTTGGGTTTTTCTAGTTTTTCAAAAATCCAAATTTTAGGTTAGGAGACACTATATGTTTAAATGCTGAAAGGATGTAGCATACTGAGGGACATAATTACAGATAAAGAGTCCATTTTATGAATAATACAATTTATGGTATGGCAGACCAAGGGACACAACACAAAATTGGAGTTAAAGAAATGAACAGGCATTCTTGATCATTCCTCAGCTGTTATAGCAGAGATGCCTGAACAATGGATGTCCATTTAGAACATTTATGTTTTTGAGACGGAGTCTCGCTCTGTTGCTTGGCTGGAATGCAGTGTTGCAATCCCGGCTCACTGCAACCTCTGCCTCCCTGGTTCAAATGACTCTCCTGTCTCAGCCTCCTGAGTGGCTAGAACTAGAGGCACACGCCACCATGCCCAGCCATTTTTGTATTTTTAGTAGAGATGGGGGTTTCACTATGTTGACCAGGATGGTCTCCATCTCCTGACCTCATGATCCTCCTACCTCGGCCTCCCAAAGTTCTGGGATTACAGGCCTAAGCCACCATGCCCGGCCCATGTAGGGATGCTTTTAAACTTAACGGCTGAAAGTATCCACCTCCAAACTTATGCATTATATTTACAAAAGAATACAAACCATGTGATGAATTTTAAAGGGAAGACAATCCGTGGGAATGCAACAGCCATGGTAACGTTTTGAACTTCTTTTATTAAACATGTAAAAACTAAGTGAGGTTCAAGACCTAACAGAATTGCCAGGAATTGTTTGGGAATTGACCAAGATGAGCTCAGACACTGTGCAATCCTTATGGTGCCCTCTGGTGGAGTTTGCTCCTGAAACCAATGATTTTCAGCCAGAAGTAACTGTCTCTGTAGTCATAAGAATTCAACCCAAATGTACCATTCAATTTTAAATGAGATGACAATAAGATTATGTGCTATATAGTTAAATTTTATTTCCTTCAGACAGAGTCTTTCTCTGTTCCCCAGGCTGGCGGTCAATGGGGCACTCTTGGCTCACTGCAATCTCTGCCTCCTGGGTTCAAGTTATTTTCCCACCTCACTCTCCTAAGTAGCTGGGATTACAGGTGTGCACCGCCCTGGATAGCTAATTTTTATATTAGCAAAATTATTTCTGGAGTGGA